GCTCATCGGATGGTGGCGCTGGCATCAAAAGCTTGTACCGGCTGTAAAACATAATGCACCTTCACGCACAGCCGGAATCAGGCCTGCTGGGTGCCACGGAGCGTTGTCATGCGCAACTGCGATAAAAGCAGACCCCGGCACGACCGTGCTCTGCTGACCGCATTCGTGCCCGTCCCACCCGACGCACCGTACGCTGTGCCGAGAACCTTGGCCAGAGCACTACTGATCACATCCACGGCATGCTTGTCTATTGCTGCAACGCTCAGGACACTGCGCGGCGAACAAAAATGTGTTGCGCGTGATGCCGATCTGCACTTCGCACACCAAGAGCATGCACCAATCGCCCCCTTCCATGGCCACAGCATACCTGAAAATTTGGTCTAGGGGGTGCGCCTGCAGAAACTCCTGCGCAGCCTCATCCGTCGGGGGCAGCGGGCTGCCTGCGACCGCGTCCGATGCTGCCACCAGCTGCTGCAGCAGGCCGTCCATGCTGGCTGCCGCTGCTGCTTCTGCACCTGTTGCGTTGCACATTCAGATCCACCACCAAAAATAACTGCGGACTGAGCGCGCTGTGGGTCCTGTAGTCAAGGGGCACAGCTAGTTGCCCAGAAGCTTCTGCCGATCGGGTGACATCATTTGCAGTGGCTCACAAGCACGCAAGCCAGCTGGGCTCCCCCGCCCTGTATTCCGCACTCCATACAGCTTCCCCCCTCTTGTCACCCCGAACATGGAGTCTTGTGATGCAGTTGCACACTAAGTTGGGCCCACAGCCCCATGTGTCCAGTAATTTGGCGTGCCAGACGCCGGCTCGTGCAAAAAATTGGACCCGAATCTTCGACACACAGAGGAAAACACGGGGTGAAAGACGCAGATTGTCACAAACGCAGCCTTTCTGTTGGTGATTTCATATTGAGGTTAGAAAATCTTTGTGCTTAGTAGCACAGCTCTGCGCGATGCGCGGGGTGCAACTTATATCGATAAGGGGAACGGGTAGTGTTGAGGCAGCCTGCTGAATCAGAACCCGCACACTGATCTCGCGGGCATCCACATGAGATCTGGAGATCTGTCTGTAACGGCAGAGATCAGTTTGGGTGGCAAAAACGGTGGGCCGAGGGTGGCGGAGCTCGTCCGCGCAACCCAGCACCCTACGACATATTGGCGGTGTGCAGGGCCCGCGCAAGCGCACGCGCAGACGGCCTAACGAGGTGAAACTGGCATGTGCACCCACGAACACGTGCGCCGCCCCCAAAGACGCAGAGCGGGGCTGATGGCGGGTGTCCAGGCGCACAGTGAGTTCGCAACAGTGCGGCCCGTCGCGCATGGGAAGAAGCGGCCCTTGGGCCGTTCCAACAAATTAGGCTAGAGGCGCCGTGCGGAAGCAACGACAGCGGCTCGACACACACAGTTGTGGGCACACGCAAAAACACACACAGCGGCTGGTGCCGCACGAGCGTGGCAGGGAGCCCGCGGAGTGCCGTGGGGGCCGCAGGCGTGGGCCCGCGTGCGGTAAGGTCCGGGCTGACTTGGGGCTTGGGGGTTGACCCGAAACGCGCACAACGGATTGCCCCGCGACCTTAAATTCGTGAGCCTCCCTTTTGATGCATCCAGCTGTTGACTGGGGAAGGACACGCAGCCACCCAGGCGTGCGCAATCAAGACTGACTGACTTTGCTAAACAGACGCAGAAACGGTGCGAGGCGACCAGACGGGATTCGCGCGGCAGCTAGCCGCCAGAGGTGCGACGACGCGCGAGCCGCGCGCTCCCTGCTGCTTTCTGTCTTCTCCCAAATCGATGGCTGCACCCTGACCGGCGGGCGCCGGGCGGCGCCGGCCCCAGGCGGGCGACCTGGCAGCGCGCCCGCGGCCCAGGGCAGTTGGGATGCACGCCCAGTCCGATCAGATCAGATCATTCATCCTCCTCAAACCCGCCAGACGCCAGCACCAACACCTCCTGCCCGTCCACCCCCGACCCCGCGCCGGCGCCGGCGCCGCCGCCGCCCTGCTCGTCGTCGTACCCGCCGCTGTACCCGCCCGGGAAGCCGCCGCGCAGCTGCGCGACCAGCACCTCCCCGTCGACCCCGCAGTCGTGGCCGCGGACCGTCACGGACGACAGCTCGTGCATGACATCCAGGGGGTCCGAGGTTTGGTACGAGGGGCGGCCCGCCCAGCAGCGGGGCTCGCCGGTCGCGGGGTCGAGGTCGATGTAGGCGAGGGAGCCCTTGGGCACGACGCCGTGGAGGACGGCCTCGGCCAGCACGTCGTCGACGCAGCTGGTGAGAAGCTGCCGGGGTTTGGGGGCGGATGGCGCGAGGCAACACGAGTGAGAATGACGGGAGTATCTGAATCTTCGAAGCAGCTCGGTTTGGTTTGAGACAGGGTCATGGTGGGGGTTGCAGCTCTCGAAGGCATCGCAGCAGACGGTCCCGCGTCATTTCCTTCCAGAGAATTGCAGCCGGGGCTGCGCGAGAGCGGCGAGCGCGCCCCGACATGGCTCCATTGCGGCGGGCGGCCGGCCGAGCGCGCGCGTGTGCGCGTGCTCTCACCCTCCTCAGCGGCCTGACGCCGTACTCCCCGCTGTTGCCCTCTTTCACGATGTGTTCCATGAGGGCGGGACCCACCTCCAGGCCATAGCTGGGGGGGAGGGGGGGGGATTATCGTGGGGTATGGTGGGGCGGGCAGGTGGGGTGGTTGAGAACGGGGCAATCGGCAGGCGGCGCGGTTGGGAGGGGGCGGTTGGGAGGTGCAGGGTTGGCAGGCGGGCAGCTGGCTGGCTGGCAGGTTGGCAAGGTGCCGTCAGGGAGCGAAGAATTGAGGCAGGCTTGGGGCTGAACTTTGCCTGGTGAACCGGGCGGCACCAAATGCAAGCCTTGTCGCATCCGTTGTATACACACAGCAGCCGCAGGAAGCAGGAGCAGGCCGCACGCGGGGAGCGGCAGGGGCGAGGGTCCAGTGGCAAAAAGCGCGGAGCACGGGGCCCAGCAACGGGGCCAGGTGGGGGGTGGTGGTGGGTGGCCGGCTCACCCCTTGGCGGCGACGCGGTCCACTGTCTCCTGCAGCATGAGGCCGGCGATAACGCGCACCTCCTTGCGCCCCAGGCGGTTGAACACGACCTGGGGGGGACGGCGCGCGCAGGACGAGGTGGTGTAGGGGTGTGCGGGCGGGCCGGGGCCAGTCGGCCAGCGGGTGCGGGGCGGACTTGGGAGGTGGGGCGGCGGGCGAGCCGCGTGCTCGTCAGCGGGCAGGTAAGAAACGAGGCACGCGAAGACTCCCGATCCTGGGGGGCACCGCGCGGCGCCGACGCCTGGATGATCTGAGCCCCCTATGCCCAGCCGCCCACGGCCCCCTCGCAGCAAGCGCCGCCCCCGCCGCGGGCGGTTGGGGCGGCTGGGGTGATGAGCCGCACCGTCTCGTCGAAGCGGTTGACCAGCTCGGGGCGGAAGTAGTTGCGGACCTCCTCGTTCACCAGGCGGCCCAGGCGGGCCTGACAGGGGGGCGTGGCGCGCACAGCGCAGGGCGCAGGCAGGTGCAGGCGGAGGGGGAGGGGGCAGCCAGTCAGCGTGGCATGGCAGGGCAGAAGGATCAGACTGACAAGGTCAGCGCGGATGGCCGCGCACTCTCAATGCACTCAGCGACTGCCAAGCGGCCCCCGGGCGCGGCCGAGGCGACGGCCGCGCCTGCGGCTGCACCCCTCGAGCCCGCCCTCAGCTGATTTTGGGACCCGCCGCGCGCAGCCCCGCCGCTCCACCCACCCTGTCCGCGGCGACCACGCGCTCGTCCTCCTCCTCCTCCTCCCCATCCGGCCCCGCGGCCTTCCGGCCGAACGCGGACAGGCCGGCGCCGCCCGCCGCTGACGAGGCGATGACGCGGGAGCCGACGTTGGACGTGAGGATGACCATGGCGTTCTTGAAGGACACCACACGGCCCTGGGGGTTCATGTGAGGGGGTTTGGATTGTCTGATGACGAGGGAGTTTGAACGGGTTACCGCTTGCGGGGCGAGGGGGGGGGGGGGTGTTTGAAAGGCTGCTACGTGTAG